TTAATGGAAGACCAGAACGTTTTAATGATCACAACACACATTAGGGCGGACGGGGAGTTATTTCTGCTACAGAAAACAGAAGCGGGAGAAAAACATGGAAAACAACAACAACAACAACAACAACCCGAGTGAAAGCAAGAATATTAAAAGTTTAGTTTTAAACTAAAATGACGACGTGCTGAAATAAAACTACAGATATTTGGACTAACTTTGTGAGCGGCACAACGCAGCTGTTTAAAAACGTCAGCGCTCAGACAACGTGTTGAGGATCACTCTCAGCTACTACCACACCAGGTGCGGCTCGATAAATATAAAACAGACGTTACTGTGCTGGCTGGACTCAAACAGACAGAAAGGGCTGCTGATAAAAACTGAAGTCAAAGTTTGAACCAACATGTCGCTCCGTCCATCTTTTTTATTTTCTGACTTGCTCTCGACGAATACAGACGCGTTCTTTCCCTCTCCTGCCTCCCTCTTGCTTTGGCTCTTGTCCTGTGAAGCACACGTCTTCTGAATCATAAATTATTATGGATCTGATCAGATGGTCTCACAACGCAATTGATACAATTTTCTTGTTGAGACGACAGGGAGCAGGAGAGCCCTCATGCCCTGAAGAGACGCACGCTGCTGGATATGTCATGGATTCCTGGGGTGAATGGAAGATGATGCGCCTGTCTGTATTGTCCGTTGAGGTTGAAGCCGCGTACACAATTGGATTTATGATAACAGGGTTTCAGCTTTTTGGAATCGGTGGGTACCTGGGGTATCGGCTAATTAGGAAGACGTCGGCAGCAGTTTTGGCCACGATGAGGCCCCCTGCCTTACACGAAGGATGGCACCGTGGTTCGAGCGCTCAGACTCAAATGCTTTGTGAGCTAGGACTCGCTGGCACGAAGGAATCGACCTTGGAGAAGGCTACAAGGACAAACTGGCGGAATGACCATGAATCTGGCTGTTGGATTCGCCATTGAGTGAACCAGCGGAAACTATGAAGGCGGACGTGAAACCAGTAGAGTTGCCTGTCTCAAAACAATTGTTTATCTGAAACTGGCTCCCCCATGTGGCCTTGGACAGGCCAACTTATCTCAAATTGCTCCTGGAGGTTATGTAAATCATGAAGCTCTGCTGTCCACATCTGTGGACCCTTATCAGAGCTGAGCCGGCTGATAGACATTGTGCAACTTATCAGGATTATGGAACTTTCTGGTAGCGGTCAGGGATGATCTCATCGCCTTTGTCGCCCCCTGCAAATTGTCTTAGGTCTACCTATGTCGCTGTGCTGTGTTTTTTTGCTGCCTCACACTGAGCCCCGTGTGTCAAGGACACGATTCTTTCCTCATGTTTTTATTCTCTTTTCTTATCCAAGCGATGAGGGCGGCGCTTCACAACCAAGCTGCAGCCTCGTGCACCTCCGTCTACCCTTGTTGGGCGGCTGCACTGAAATGTGTTTTTGCTGCGTTTAACTGTGCAATGACAATAGTTGATTCTGATTGGAGTATTTATTGATGACTCTCAGCGACTACCACACCAAAGTCTGTTACAACTGGCCGAGTTATAGATACGTGTGTTTGCTAAGCTCGGCTGAGCGTGAGAACCATCTTAAATTTAGTTTAGTCATTACTTTTTGAAGCTTTCATTAAGATGCGACCAGTGGTTTATGAAAATATTTTGCTAACAGACACCACTAGTTAATGGCACAGTATGAAATAAGCTTAAAGGAAAAAACAACTATAACACATTCTGAACATTCTGAAGGAATATGGAAAAGTATAATGTGTATCTATACAAATTGTTGTTTGAGTTGATGTTGTTTTTATTTAATTTTGTTTGTTTTGTAAATTACTTTTGTTTGAATATATTCTGGGGAAAAAAGAGGCATATATAAGACTTATTCTTCTTCTGCCTTTCATTTTATTGTTTTGTTTTCTACTGTATATAGTTATTTTGTTTTTAATGAAATTAATACATTTCTAAATAAATAAATACAATTTGGTCTGGTGGTAGCCGAGAGCGAACAGCAACACGTAGTACCGTCAAATCAAAAATTTAAAATGGCCGCCACGTGGCAGTGGAACTTTCTAGCTGCATTTGCGGCAGCTTTTTAAAGATAATTAAAAAGTGAGCGGTCTGTTTCCAGCATCTTTTCTTTGCAGAGTGAACGGACTCTTTGCTCGTCGGTCCGTCTGACGGCACGATGACTCTTTGTTCAGCAGAACAGGAGGCATCAGAAACGCTGGACCGACGGCAAAGAAGAAAAAAAACCCGGCAATAAATAATTCAAACGTCAGCTTTACGACAGGACTGACTTTAAGGACGAGCGGTAGTGACAAAATAAAATTTTAAAGGTGTTAGAAAAGCTCAGGTAGAAGAACCGCAGGGTCTGAAGTTTATTTTAAACGGATAATTATTTAAAGCCCTGAGAATGAACGTAAGAAAAACTCCAGGGTGTTCCTTGAGAGAAAGTCAAACACCAACAGGAAATGAACGTTTCGTTTAAGTCTCAATAATCCAAGAGGAAACCGAGAGCTGCACTGTGTGTAATCTGTGGCTGTAAAGTTTATCTTCAGAGTCAGAGTAAATATCTGCAGCTCGTCTGTAAATCAGACGCAAGTTCAGTCAATAACTTCACTGCTTATCAGCTGCAGCGGCTCGTTCAGGTTATCGGCTCGATAAGCTGCGGCAGCCTGACACACGCTGCACGACACAAACTGTAGATTTAACTAGGCCTGTCACGATAACAGATTCTGCTGGGCGATTAATCGTCTCAGAAATTATTGCGATAAACGATAATATTGTTTGAAATTTGACAATAATTAGTAATTTTTGTCAAATTTAAGAAGAAATGTTGGTAAATTTTTGTGTGTAGTACCTTTTTTCAACCACCAGATGGCAGTATAAGACTGTTTGAACTGAAGGATGGATAGTGAGGGAGCGAGCAGTGTGTCTCTAAGAAAAATGTGAGGGAGGCCCCTTGACGTGACATGGGCTGTCTCTCTTCAGTTCTCAAAATGGCGGACGCTCGGTGAGGTTTGAGCTCTTTAACATTTTTCACACAAAGCTTTTAATAAAAAAATCAGTAAACAAGTTCTCAGATTATTTTGCAGAGAAAAACTTTTTACACGAAGGCACGAGTTTCAACCGTGAGTTTTGGAGCTTCGACAAGACGGAGGTTTTTTTCCCCCGAGGTCGGCCTGTTAGCTTAGCTCGTAGCTCAGCTGCTTTTAACGAACCAAAAACGTGACTTTGGATCGTTAAAACAGATTTTAATGAGAAAAAGAAAGGGAGGGGTCAGTGAAGAGTCTCTCATCCAGTGTCTTCAGTAGAAAGAGAGACACGAAGAAACGATGAAGCCGATAAATGAAAATGACGTCGATAATTTTCATTTATCGTGCGATTAATTTTCATTTATCGTGCGATTAATTGATCAATTGTTTAATTGTTTATCGCGACAGGTTTAGATTTAATGTTGTTTTCTGTGAGCGCTGAATGAGTTCGCTGAAGAAGCTGAAACTGACACATTCAAGCTAAAAGTAGCGGAACAATAGCTAGAAACTAAACGTCACAAAATGATAGCTAAAATTAGCAAAACATTAGCTAAAGGTTAAAACAAAATCGAAAAGAGCCACGTCATGAATATCTGCGAGCTGCTCCTCCAGCTCCTTGTTCCGTCTGTTGTTTGTCAGGAAATTAACAATAACCCTGACACCTCCTGCTGCTCCTGCTGAAGGCACAGAGGAGGAGGAACTTCTGCGTGACTGTATCCAACAGGGACGGTGTAATTACAGGTTCTGGTTATTTTACTAACACCGGTCTGCGGCTTCTCGGCTGAACGTCGACACAGAAACATGAAAAGTAAAGGACCTTCAGGAAGTTCAGGACCTGCAGAAAAACACGAGTCTGGCTTGATTAAAGTATTTTTAAATATTTGAAGCGTACAGAATATATTAGTAATATTTCTGTAGATGCTGAGGTCTTCCAGGTCCAACAGAACCAGATTCAGACTCACCAGTCTGGGCTGCAGCGCTGGACTCTGCTCCTCCTGCGGCCTCCACGGAGCTCCGGTCCTGCTGTGGAGCCCCCGGACGAGCTCTGGGGGCGACGGCGGGTCTGGGTGGGGGTCTGGGGTTTGTTGGGGAGGGGCTGGTTTTGGGTGGAGCCGGTCTCGGGGCTGGGATGGGGGTTTCTGTAATGGGCCGTGGTTTCGGTGTTGTTGCTGCGGTTCTGCAGGGCTGGGGTCCTGGACTCGGAGACGGTTCTGCAGACGGACCTTCAGCTGTGCTTTCTGGTTCTGCTGAAACATCTTCACCTTCCCAGAACTCCTTGCTGGAAGGTTTGGGGCCAGGAGAAAGGTTTTTGGGTTTTGGGGCAACGGCAGGGGGGGCAGATTTGGCCGGTTGCCCCTGGAGACGAAGGCGGGGCTGAGGTTCTGGTCTTTTAGCAGCACACCTCTCGGCAGGTCCGGTTTCTTGGTCATCAGCTTCTCTGCAGCTGCCGTGCTGCTCGAACGCTTGTATCCTCGCTCTCAGAGCGGCCATGTCCTCCTGCTCCTCCTCCTGCTCCTCGCCCTCTGATTGGCTGCCCTCGTCGCTGTCACTGCGCCGGTCGGGGAGGCCCCAGTCGTCGGAGCTGAACGCCTCCAGCAGCTCCTGGAGGTACTTCCCCTGACTCTCCTCTTGGTTCGTACTGCCGCTGCTCGCCCGGGCGGCTAGCGTGGCCAAACCGTCCTCGCGCAGCTTCACCAACGTCTGAACTTTGACCTCGTTGCTGATTGGCCTGCGGCCGAGCTTGGTGCGGGGGCGTGGCCTCGGGCGCTCAGACGCGGCGGCGGCAGGTAAACTGTGATCCGATTGGTCGGTTTGAGCGCCGCACGTTGACGTTGAAGGTGAACACAGGTCAGTGAGGTTGCAGCATCGTGCGCTGGTGGAGTTGTGTGTCACAGATGGAGGGCGGGGGTTTGATGCCACGCCATCGGCGTCAGAGGATGGGACTGCTGATTGGCTGTCAGTCCTGGTGACGTCATCAACGCCAGAAGACTTTAGAGGGTTGGGGAGCGGGGGGCGGGGCGGTCTCGCTGGTCTAACCGCTGTACAAACAGAAACAACCGTATTTGAATATGTCTATAAAAGTAAAAACATCTATCACAAAACAAACCCTCGTTTACCTGGAGGCTCCTGAGGGTCCGGGACAGAGCCGGGGTCGGTCTGCGTGGCGATGGTCGTCCTGGATACAGGACAGGTGGAGGAGGAAGAGGGGAGGAGAACCTGCTCCTGTGTCTTCTCTCTAATCACCTCCTCATAAGACGGAGGAGGCTGAAGACGAGCAACAAACTGTTAAAGTCAGACCGGTTGTTAAAAACATTAAATAAAAAAGTAAATGTCGCCGGAGAAACTCTCAGGAGCTTTAAAAAATATCACACCGGATTATTTAGAAACTTTATTCTGTCTTGATCAAGTTTTTACATTTTCTGACAATTTTTATTTTGTTTTTTTTTTAAACATCAGTAAATTTACTACAATGTACCACGAGTGTTTATGTTTTTCTTCTTCTTCTTTCGGTTGCTCCTTCTTCAGGAGTCGCCACAGTGAACTAACTCACACGAAGACTTGGTGACTGTTCTTACGTCAGATGTTCTTCCTGACTCAACTTTTTTGTGTCGTCTATACGGGGAGTTGAACCGGCGACCTTCCGATCACGGGCCCACCTTCTCCAACCTCTGCTCCACCACTCCCTCCAGTTAAACTGTCTTAATAAATCCACGTGTTTTATTCAGATCTTCATGAAACAGCTGCTAGTCAGCTAAAAGATAAAAGTTGTATAAATCACGAGTCATTATTAAATGAAAACCTGCTTGTTTAAGCAACTTTTATTAATTTAGTTGTTTTATTTATTTGTTTTTTTTACTTGTTTAGAAAATGCTATCGGTAGCAGAGCCTGGAAACTTTAATATTTGTTCACCTTAATCCAGAAAATCTCCAACTATAGTCCTGGTGGTCAGAACTGTGGAGGAAGTGTGTAATAATATCTATAACAGTTCCTATAAATAAGAACAAAATGGACATAAACCAGCAGCTGGATGAAACTCCACCCTGACGGTGGCTCACCTGAATGGACGGATGGATGGCGGGTCCCCAGACTTGTGCCGGAGGAGGAGGTGGTGGAGGAATTCCTGCTGCAGCTCCAGGAAACCAGGAAGTGGAGGGCAACGGCTCTGCAGACAGGATGCTGATCTGTGGTCGCCTAGCAACAAACAGGAAGTCAGAAAGAGAAAAAAACTTCAACAATCTGACCTGTTTGAGAAAAAACACTTAAATGAGGTATTTTAACAGTCTTCACAGGGTCAAACACTTTTTAACATTTACACATTTTATTTAGACGTTTTTCCTTCACAATAAAAACAAATATAAAATTAAATGTAAAATTAAAGAAAAACAACCGGCACAATTTATCCTTGATTTTAAGTTTTAACGTTAAAGCTGAAACGACTACATTAAAGTCATCGAGTTAAGAATAAAGCAGATTGTAATAAATTTTAATTACTACAAGAAAAAAGGAAAAGCGTTGAGAAGGAAGTCTAACTTGTGTTTCAAGTTAAAGTATAAAAGCACCCATAATCCTTTGCTGCAAAAATAATAAAACAATAGTTGGGTTTAAACGCAGAATGAGGTTCATCGCTTTGGGCTCGACTTTATTCTTCAAATCACCTTTTTCATTTTATTAAATAAAATTGTGACTTTAACCTCAACATTACGGCTTTTTCTTAAAAAGTGTGGAAAAAACAAACATTTATCAATTTTCTTATCTTGTAAATGATTTGACAAACCTTCATTACGGATCATCTGAAAACAATAAAATCACAACATTTACCGTAGAGTCCGGACTATAAGCTGCTACTTTTTTCACCTTGAACCCTGCAGCTTAAACAACGCTGCAGATTAGGAATGCACGATGTAAACTGCAGATTAGGGATGCACAATATAAACTGCAGATTAGGAATGCACGATATAAATGGGACACGGTAGAAACAATAGAGATCCGTCCTCTAGCGGCTAACCTCAGTAATGCTGTTTCTGATGTAAAATCAGAGTTATCAGATTTAATTGTTACTTTTTTTAGTTGAAAACTGCATAAGTGAAGTTAAAGTCATTTCTTCGAGAGCTAAGTAGCGAAGCTACAAGCTAACTACGACCGGCTTGCCGTAGTGTTGCCGTATTCGGACGCATGCGCACAACGCTGTGTTCCGTCTAAAGTTTTTTTTCCCGTAGAGAGTTAAAGTCAGCGTTGGTCAGCTTTAGAGAAACCTGCTCTCTGATCTGTAAAAGAACGCTGTGCTGTGTGGTTTTACTGCGAGACCCTCTGGTCAAAGCCACAGAGGAAACTGGTCGCCATTTTGTGTCAGCTCTCCTTAAAGTGGGAGGAGCACCCTCTAGAGGGTGAAGTGTTTTCACTTGCTGCTCTGTTGCTGTTCATATCTGAAGTGAGAAGACTGGAAACTGTTAAGAGTTAACAACATATTCTTTGGTTTGAAACACATAGCTAAAATTACATTTGATATGTTTTGCACTACAAGAAAGAATCGTAATACTTGATTTGTTTGTTATTTTAAAACTCTCTGGACCTAGTAGTGGAATTTTCTTAATTGAGATTATTTTGTGGTACAGCAGTTTTCAAAATAACTGATGGTAAAAGGACGCCCTGTGCTTTAAAAAAAAAAATCCTATTGCAAGTTTATACAAAAAACATATCGTGATATATATCGTTATTGCCACCCTTCACAATATATATCGTGATATGAATTTTATGCCATATCGCACATTTGTACTGCAGATAATTTATGGCTGTTTTTGTTGACGGGCTAACGAGCTTCCTGCTGCCAAAACATTTAACCTCGTCACACCTGGACGCTCACAGAGCTGCCAACACACGTCTCTTTGGGGGCGGGTCCCCGTGACTCAGTGAGACTACCTGTATAAATAAAGGTTCAAATAAAATCTGACCACGGACATTACCATACAGGACCGTTTCTCTCTTTAAATACGTTCTCCATTTCTCCCCCCCCCTCCCCGTTGTGCCCCCAGGGAGGGGGGAAACTTCGTTTGTCATGCATTGCATCATTGCTTCCTGCTTGGCAGTGCACGGGAGGAAGATGAAGATAGCATCAATGACTTCCTGGTAGGCTAATGTATTCACTTTTTAAACCAGCTGTTACAGGTTCTGATAAAACAACAACATTTACTGTAATTATTTGTGTTTGTTACTGGTACGCACTTAATTAAAAGTTTTTAAAAATCTTTCTGCGTAAATATCTCATGACACCTGCGGCGTATAGACCAGCGCGGCCTATTTGTGCACTTTATTTTAAATGTAGTTTATATATATTACATCATACAGCAGCTTATATTTGGGTGCGCTCAGCAGTCTGTGAATCAGGGCAGAGGACGGCTCACGTCAGAGAGGTAAACAGTAAACAAGCTTTGTTTACTGTCAACACACAGGCTCACGTTGGTTCAACAGAGTATTTTAGCTCGGTGTAAAACTGGATTAAAAACATTTTGACTAAACTCTGTGTCCAGCTGTGTTTATTTAGTCAAACCAGCTGACTGATTACCTCCTGTCCCTGTCCCGGTCTCTGTCCCGGTCTCTGTCCCGGTCCCTGTCCCGGTCCCTCTCTTGGTCTCTGGGTGTCTCCGCTACAGAAACCGGCCTTGTGGCTGAAAAACATCATTAAAAACAAATTAGTTTATAAAACATAAACGGAACTATGCAGAAAAAAGGTAAGTGAATTAAGACGTGGACGTTTCACGTCAGTTTTCCGTCTCGTCGGTGAATTGATCTCACAACGGTGCGCTACGAAAACAATTCAACAACATTTTAAATCAGATTACAGGTTTATTAATCACGTCTGCACGTAAACTCCTGAAGATCTACATTTAGCTCTCTCCGTATGAGCACAACAACTTTGTACGATTTAACGGTTTGTTTCTTTACACAGTAAGAAATGTTCCTAAAGGCCGGTCCACGGAAACAAATCAAAAACTGCCACAGAGTTAAAGAATACTGATTCCTAATCACATCAAACGGATGTGATTTAGGAATCAGTGAAGCTGAACGTTTCATTTGACGATGCAGCTTAAAGTCGGACTGAACACGTGACCAAAACATGTAAAACATAAAACACGCCGTGTGCAGGAAACATTCAAGCCTCGTGTGTTTGACCGTAAGTCAACGAAAACGTAATTTTATTCTTTTAACAACTGAACTGACGTCCTGGTATAAACTCCAGTTGAGTTTTCAGTGTTTCTCTTTGATGTCGAGTGTTTTAGGACGCTTCTGCGAGCGCCTGACAGGTAGGACACTTACTTCTCTTGATGACGGCTCTGATGGACGACAGGGGGCCCTGGCTGCAGAGAGGACACAGAAGAACATGACTCGTGTGCTTTCACCTCCGTTCTCAAAATACAATCAAGGTAAACGCCCGCGACACCGATGGGACGCATCAGAGGCACAGGGACAACTCAACGTGTGACTGCTGCTGGAATCAAACCCCTACTTCTCCCACTGGAGGACGACCACTCTAACCACTTTGACCAGTCAGCCACAGCCGCCCCATTAAAGTGTGACAGTTTGTCTGCATTTGGCGAACATGAAGCGTTCAGCTGCGTGACATCACCTCTGGGTGTGGCTGATGGCGCAGCACTTCAGGGTGGGCCCGATGCAAATTAAAACCACAGACTCAGCAGGAGAGCGCGACCATTTCTCGTCAATGAGCCCAAACCAAACTGGTTTTCGAGGCGTTCAGGAGCGCCCGCTCACAGTTACTGTAACGATCACCAGGACGTGAATAAAGAACGGTGAACTGCTGCTCCCCGCAGAACAAGAATCAAACTAAATCCGAGCAGGAATGGAAACGTGTTTATCCTCCATCGCTTTGAGGGAAGTCACAGAGAGCGACAGCAGGTGAGGAGAAACAGAAACTCTTTAAAAACTGGTGTTGGGAGAATGTGGAGCTTCTCGTTATTAAATCAAAGGCTGAGATTCACTCAAAACATCTGCCATGTGTTGGAGATTACAGAGATTTCACCCAGAATCAACCCTTACCTGCTGTCTTTCATGGCTGGGTTTGAATCTAATCTCATTTTGTGCAGAAAAGGGGCGGAGTTACAGCAGCTTGGGCAAACCGTATGAATGTTGCGCTAACTCGTGCCATATTGTGTGATCTGTTAAGACTGCAGGTTTACTCGCAGTTCCTAGAGTTTCCAAGAGCAGAATGGGAGCAGGATCTTTCAGTTCTCAGGCTCCTCTCTTGTGGAACCAACTTCCAGTTTCTGTCCGTGAGGCTGACACATTGTCCAGTTTAAGACTTTCCTTTTTGATGAATCCTATGGTTAGGGTTGGCTTGTGATGCTACTATAGACTACTAGAGGACAAATTGACCTCATTTCCTTAAATGAATTGTTAAAACTGAATAGTTTTCATTTGATACCATTTCTATCTTAACGTGACTCTTGATCTGCCATTGTGTATCTGTTCTTACCAAACCCAGCGGGTCGAAGCAGATGGTCCGCTTGTCCTGAGCCTGGTTCTGCTAAAGGTTTCTTCCTCATGAGGGAGTTTTTCCTTTCCACTGTCGCCTTCATGCTTGCTCAAGATGAGAGTTAAACTCAAAGCTGCTCCTCAGATAAATAACGTTAAATTATTATTTTTATATGAATTCAGTGCCTGAGACGACTTCTGCTGTGACTTGGTGCTATAGGAATAAAGTGAATTGAAAACTGAATTGTTAGAGTCGGCGGGGGAGAGGGTGGACTCCAGAAACCACCATCAAACTGGTTGACCCACTATGAGAAGGCGCTATTTATAAGACTGAGCTTGTTGCGGCTCCTCAGACTGAAGAAGTCTTTTGGATGAAACGTTTCAACAAGAAGAAACCGTCCAGAGGACCCGACTGAACCTTGTTGGGGTTTTAGCTGCATCATTGAGCATGAACTTTGATCAAACTGACTGAGCTGCAGCCATTCTGTGGAGGCCATCTTGTAGATGTGACGTACATTTAATGATACTTTCTGAGTTTCAATAAAACAGTTTGTTGTTCCTGAGATATTTTGCTAACAGACAGGCAGGTTAATGCTACAGTGTTAAACATGTCACCATGTGCAGCTCTGTGTATGTTAGTGATGACGCTCATCAAAGCTCTGGTTTGGTCCATGTTGCTCCTGTTGCCTCCAGCGGTGGACACACGTGGAAATAAGCGATGGGGAGGATTTGTTTATTTGCTCGCCTCATGCCTCGACAGGTCACGAAACTCCCCACGGCGTTAGCGTCATGTTAGCATAGCGTGCTCATTTAGCATGAAGAGAGAGTGAAAGTAGGAGGTGAACATGTGAAGCTGGCTCGTGCACGTTTCTATGAGTCACTTTGAGGTTGCTGCGAGTCAGCACCTGCAGGAGCGCGTTACAAATGTTTTTATTGCTCAACCAGTTTGGTCCTTTAATCACTTTAACACGACAACATGGAGGGGAATGTTTATATAAAGACAGGAAATCATTTCTGACCGTCAGCATCTGTGTTTGTTTTAATAAATGTTTGTGTTCAAGGAGCTGTTCATTGGTAGAGCTGCAGCCTCTCAGCAAGAAGGTCGTCGGATCAAATCCCAGCCCGGGGCCTTTCTGGGTGGAGTTTGCATGTTCTCTCCGTGTTGCGTGGGTTTTCTTCAGGTACTCCAGTTTCCTCCCACAGACCAAAAACATGCATGTTAGACTGATGGTAACTCAAAATTGTCCCTAGGTGAGAGAGAGAGAGAATGGTTGTCTCGTTTGTCTCTGTGTGTCCCTGTGATGGACTGAGGACCTGTCCAGGGTGTCCCCCGCCTCTCACACAGTGACTGCTGGACACGGACACCAGTGACCACTGTGACCAACAAAGGAAGAAATGGGAAAAGATGGATGAATAGATGGATGGATGAGTGGATGGATGGGTGACTGAGTGGATGGATGGATGGATAGACGGGTAGGTGAGTGGATGGACGGGTGGGTGGATGGCTGGATGAGTGGATGGATGGCTGGATGAGTGG